CTGCACTATAGCTACCCTGGGTCTCTATACCTGGCAAGGTGCCAACTACACCTTTCCATTCAGATGATGCAAATGATGCATTTGGCATTTCTTGCATCACCACCCCTCAAAAATCACCTCCAATACAACCTCGAAAAACCTTCCCTCGAAGCACCCTCCTCCCCCAGCATGTGCCGAGTTTACGTGTACCTTTCCCGGGCCACCCCCCCAGACCCCCTAACTACTCACTTCGTTCGCCAGACACAACTCCGCTAGCGCCTTCTACGAAGGCTGGCTTTCGTAATATGTCGCATGCAGTCCGGCATGCACGTGCAGCTTGACCAAAGACCACACACCAACTATATCTGCGACCTACCTCCACCGACAGAGGAACCAGCCTCCCCTGCTTCTTGGGAAACTTCGAGTTGAACATCCCCGCATCTGTCGCAGTAAATCCATGTATATAAATCCTCCCTTGGAACCCACAAGCAAACGGTTCCATCCTTAAAGAAATTCTGGGGTTGCAATCTGCGATATTCATGGATCTTGCTTCACCTTGGTTCCCTTGTGAACACACCGCCCATAACCATCAATTGCTCCCATCCAAGTCCTTGCCCGCGTTGGTCACCATGTACCTCAAGTTGAACCCGTGACTTGTGGAAGAGACTTGCGTTCTCAAAAGCCACACGCACACAAACACACAACCAAAATAGCACGCAAGCAGTTGAGCCCCTTTGACATGTTTTTTTCTGCAAGTGGTCCTTGCGAGGTTTGCTGCGATTTGGGTTCCACATTGGTCTTTGCGTCTGTGAGTCATGGGTCTGCGCTCCACATCTGCCAATGCTTAGAGAAGTCTCAAAACGAGTTTCCATTCCGGGCGACCCGACAATTTCTTGGTCGGACTGGACTTGGACGTCTCGGTTTGACTCATGTGATAAACAATGGTTCAAACCAATGCCCGCTTGGGGCTTGCTGCACCACAGAAGCGCAGCACACGTATAGGAGTTGTTTCTGGGCTCGAAATTCCCGGGACCGGGTGGAGGTGCCCACATGCTTCAGCTTGAGGAACTTGCTTGGACATGAAATCTTTTCCAAACCCAAGTTTCCAAAAATCGCTTTTAGACATGAAATCATCCCCATCTTTAAATTCCAAGAACCCCCCAGCCAACCTGGGCTGCAAAAAACTCTTCGGCCTGGGCACTTGTTCACCGCGATACGGGCTGCCTCCAAGGCCTCCGAGGTCAACTGCTGGTCCTCATCACACACTAAGTGGGCCGCCGCCGGGAACTCGTCGCAGGGCATCTTCTTTTTTTCCTCAGCCCAAAAGCAAGACGTGCTCGTGATTGAGGCGCCAAGGGCCCAAAACGTCTTGCTACCTGCTAAACCATATATGGTAGGTATAAATGCTCACCACGCCCCACGACCCCCCCGAAGGCAACAACACACCTCCCGTCCAGATTTGCACACCGCCAGGAGGTTCGCTCATTATGTTTAGGAGTTGCAACTGTTAGAGGACTGAGACCGTGTAGACATTGAATTGGTGGTCGCACTCCCAGAAATTTAAAGGTGCAGAGGTGGGTGGGAAGTGGAAGCAGCAGATGCAAGGCAGCAGATAGAGATGGGAGAAACGCAAGCCTGTGTGCTAGGCGGCACGTGACAGCATGAAAGGTCAAATGAGAGAGAGGCTTCGGACTCAAGAGGACATGGCAAACACGTGCTGGATGACCTTAGCAGTGGAAGATACAGGAGCGCACGCATCAGGCGCGCGACTCAGGCACGAAGGTCATCAAGCATCTGGCCAGTGGCTGCCCAAAGGTTTTGGGTACGATGCCAACGTCCAACGCGCGGCACTGGCTTTTCGAGCCAACGCAATGCAATAGATAGGCGCATGCTTGAGATTCGTACGCAGGTGCCCCTGGCTGGGCAACTTATGTGTCCAGCTTTTAGTATAGTGAGGGGGTTGGCCCAAACCGGTTTGCCCCTCACCATCACCTTCTTCTTATGGACGACATTGTCATGGACCCTCTTCCAGCTTCATCTTGTCATCGGTGCGAAGGATGATGTTGCGGCCTTTCAGGAACTTCTCTGCCAGAGCCTTCCAGATACGGCCTGGGCTTGGGGAGCGAATGGCGGCGGTCTTTGCACGCAGTCGGAACAAGACCAAGGTGTTCGGCTGACCCCGTTCGACGATGACACCCCATTTCTCCCATTGCGCCCTTTTCTGGTTCATGTCAACGTCCTTGCCCACATCAACTTTGTCTGCCCCCACATCCGCACCATGTGTGCGTTGCTCCAAACTGGGTATCGTTTTGTTTGTTGGTGACATGGCGGCGAGCAATCTCTAGGTTTGCGTAAACACGAGAGGCTGGCTTGTGGTTCATGCCAGGGGGGATAGGAACTGAAGTCATTGGCACACCTGCAAGCGCATAGCATAGAACAGCTGCTTGGTGCCCCAAGGGTGGCAGGCAACTGCAAAGGCAAACGGAAAGGCTTCAGTGGACATGAATGAAAGCAAATACCAGAATCCTTGTTTGGCGTGCATGCCTGTTGCAGAAGCAAAGGCATAGGTGAAGCAGTTTTGTCAAGCGCATCTGTTCGTCCATGACAAACGATTATCAGAAGATACCGCAATAGAATCAGAAAGCCCCATCATCAGCACCATCAGGTCGTACAGATAGATCAAGGCTCACATCAGCCATGCATATGGCTCGCAACTTCCTCATCAGCGCCGAAGTCCTCGTCCTCCATGTGGTCAATCATCCCTTCGAGCTCTTGTTCAAGTGTCTCCTCTTTCTCCTCTTGTAGCTGCATCGTATATAGATGATAGAATGCCATATATCTCCTCTTGTAGCTTCAATCTTCATCACTTGAGGTTAGTGCGGGGGTGGGGGCAGGGTGACCCCCTGGAGAACAGGTTAAACTCCTCAAATGTTTGATGTGTTTTGTTTTATTATTGTTCGTTTTGTGATTCTATAATATATACTACTACAAGAGTTCACAGCCCAAACAGTGTTTAAATATATCACAAACAGGTTTTGACATGTAGGTAATGTAACTGTAGTAATGGGAGATGACAAGTATGTGCAAACATGTGACACGCATAGAGTGTCATATGCTTGAGTAGGTGTGTCCGTGTGTATAAACACCCTCCAAAAATACTTTAAACAGTAAATGCCAGTACAAACAGCATGTTGGGGGGTCATGGGGTTTACCATATGTGTACAAATATATATATATATATATATTTGTGTGTGTGCGCGCGCGCAAATGTGTGTGTAGCTGAAGGCATTCCCAAAAAACCCACTGCCTTGGGGCAAGCCTCCGACGTCAAAAATGCGGATCTTCGGATCGGGCACGCCTCGGCAGTAGCGGGTCTTGGGGTATGGCTTGTTCTTGTTGTAGCGATAGCACTTCGCTGGTCGACGACCCATCGCTGCTTGTTCTGGGCGCGGGCGGATGGGGTCCAAAATTACGTCTAACGGAACCGGCCTGAGCCCAAAAGGAAGCGGATTGAAACTGGCGGCGCCGGTGCGCCCAGGCTGGCATGTGCCCAACGCAACGTCAGGAGTTGTTCGGTGTTTTTCATGGGGTGGTAGCCAGGTGTTACGTGGAGACCCTGATTGGATGATGCGGCTTGCCTGATCAGTGGTTTCTCTTTTAGGATTTCTTGGGGCGTCTTTGAAGCAATTGTGTAGTGGGCCAAGCATGTCGAGTATACACATGTGAGGATATGCTTGGCCGGCCCTTCCTGAATCAGGCAGTTCATGGAACATGGCCGGGTTTCAGTTTGAGCAACTAGTTCCTTTCTCATGTGGTTTCTTGTTATTGTTTGAGCCATTTTGAGCCTATCTTGCCAAGCGCCCACGAGGAACTTTTATTTTTGTGCAAAGCCATCTCCAGCGCGCCCTATCCCGGGCCTCTTCATCCGGCTGATGTGCAGAAGTGGGGCCATGATCCCCCCCAAGCGGGCTCCGCGTCTGCACCAACTGCAGTTTTCTGAAGCCATCTAACCCAGCCCATCTATATATACATATACAGAGTGAGAGAATGGAAAAATATAGTATATGTATATAAGTATATAATACATATATGTATATTATATATATGCATGTATATGCATGTATGTATTTGTATTTATGTTCAGCCTGGTGATCTCATCGCCATCTCACACCGTGGCACCTGATGAGAAAAAGGCCAGGCCACTGCTGAGGGAAAGGCAGCGGTTTCATCAAGCATCTGCAACCACATCCTTGTTCTCCACACAACTTTATGTGGACAGCCACGCACTTTAAAGGCACATGCGAGCTTTCTGTTGCGCTATATGTAAGAGGGGCTCATCTGGAAAGTGGAGAGAAAAGCTGGCTTGACCAATTCACCAGAACCACAAGGCAGTTCCAGGAGAGCGATTCTACGCCCTACAGTCTCAATGCTGGCAAGTGTCAAAGATTGCTGCACTATGCAAACCACGAGCTACAAAAATGGGGAAAAGTCATGGCAAGTCCTCATCTGTCCCCGATCCTGACCTGCCTCCGCCCGGTCCCTGGTCTCCACCCCAGGAACCACAACCGGGATCCTGAGCCAAGCACTAGCCTCAGAATGGCCCATCGAAGCCTTGGACAACATCGATGGATCAAGTCTGTACGAAGTCATATTTTTTTTATCTTATATCGAGCCAAAAGTTGTTTCCAACAAATCATGCTAAACAGCATGCCATGATTAATTTATCGTGAGTCCCATGTGTGCTGAGTGCCGGAATGCTCAATCTCAAGCACAAAAACGATGCTGAACAATGCTGAACACCCATCAAACTGGGGCTTACGTCGTTGGTCGCCCCAGCAAAGCCTCTAAAGACCGTCAGACCAGCTTCTTCAAGACCACCTGGCCTCTTAAAACATCGGACGAGGTGCCTCGCTGATGATCGGGCTTGGAGAGCGTACCGGGCCTGGCAGTTCCAAGCCAAAGGCGCCCGGGATCGGGTGTCCAATTTTCCCCACCCCCCGTGAATTCACATCACTGCCGGGTCTACCAGGCACCCTCCAGGCGCGGGAACACATCCAAAAAGTGGGTAGAACTGGGAAGGGCAAGCAGCCTACGGAACACATCTGAGGACTGGAAACCCCATGGCGCCGGAGGCAACATAATATCACCATGAATCACACGAAGCTTTTTTCCCCGCCCGAATTTTGTGTCCCCTCTTCACTGACCTACAGCACAAGTCCTCATTTCGCTATGTCGCCTGGGGGAAGGGCGCCAGGTGGCAAAGGCCTTGGTGCGAACATCATCAGTGGCCAGGTGTCATTTGGCCTCTGCAAAAGAAATACGTGTGACGAAACTGATCCACCGGAAGCACAATCACTTGCCTATCAGAAGTCGGGAGTTTTGTGCACTGGAACTGACTTCGTCTCAAGCCTCGAGCATATACTACATTGTACATCACACAATTTGTTTAGATCTACAGTATGGGTGACCATGCAGCTCTCTCATAGTTGGCCTTCCATGCATCCTGGCGGTGGTTCACATGGACCCCAACCCCTGTTCCTGGATGAAATGAGATGCCTGGGGCCTGGGGTGGATCTGTTGGAGACATCTGCCTGGCAGCCTGATTGAGGTGACGCCTCAGGGCCACCTGCGGAAGGCTCATGTCGAGAGTTGGAGGCCATCGCTATTAGGTTGGAGGCCATTGTTTCTAGGTTGGTTTACTCCAAAAATTATATTCTATGTATGGTCTTTGAACGGCGGGTTGCCCAAGTTTGGGCCCAAGGCTTGCCCATCCCTTCCCGACAGGCTGGGGACGCAAGCAATGTCTGGGAGGTCCACCGCATTTGTGGATGTAGCTGCCTACCGTCTTCGCCGAAGAAGCGAAGAAGTCTCACTTGATTGTTCTGTTCTGCTTTTTCATGCGCTTTCATTCGGGACCGGTGAATCCAAGTCCTTCCGCGCAAGTGGACCATGGCATTCCCAAATGTGAAACATAGTTCATCCAATGAGTCGACGCAAAAATTGCAGATTGATGTTTGACCAGTGGGATGCATCGGAGACCGCCTGGGTTCCAATGACCCCTGAGGGGCATAAAGGCCATCCTCGTAGGGCCTCGGCTTAACTCCGAGCGGCGACGTGGACCATCGTGGACCATCGTGTATGAAGTATGAAGCAAGTAGGACCAGGACACGGTACAACCACTGGAACAAACAGAGAAATTCTAACAAGCATCGATCTATACTAGCCTTAAAAATTCAGTATTTCTTGCGCATTGCATCACACTGGGCGTGAAAACTCATGAAAGACTATACCTCCCTTAAGGGCTCTGCAACCCCACAGAAATGACCCGTCGCAGGGCTCCGTACCCCACCATGTCCGGCTCGAACACAGCTGCCTCAACAGATCTATCTTTAAGCGAGAAAAAGAGGATGTTGCTTTAAAGGAGCTAGCAGCAAACACCCTCAAAATGTGCAGGCCATGAAAAAACACACCACATCATCAGCATTGGAGCTCGACACAGTACCTCCAAAGCACCCAGCCTGTTGTGAGCTCTGCCTTGGTGTCGATGAATCGACCGCAGTTGACACGAAAAAGAGAGGTTGCTCCGCAGCATGCATCCTTTTGGTTCCGGTGTCGCAACGGGTTCTGTGCAATGACACTTTTGGCCAAATCGAGCTATTCCACACAAGCTAAAAGAGCTTCATCTCATCCTTCCGCATCAAACTCTTCTTGAAGCCTTCTGGCCATGGCTTCATCCTCTGCCATCTGTGCTTCGGCAGACACAGCCGGGGCCGGCGTCGCAGTCGCGGGTGCCTGCCCCGCCCGCCGCATGGCGGCTTCCGCCGCGGCCGCGCGGGCAGCAGAACGATCGACGGGGTCGGCGACCAGGGGCCGGCCGGCTCCTGCGATGGGAGCGGTGGGACTGGAGTGAATGCATGGAGTCCGAAAAAAACGCTTGATGCGGTCTCGTCATGTCTATAGTGCAAGGCAATCCTGTAGTAGAACATAAATGGTCCTACTTCCAAAAGCACTGACTGGAAGCGACTGCAAGAAAACACAATCCAAAGTCAGAAAGCCACCAGAACCCTCGAAGTCCTTCAAAAGCCTTGAAGGCCTCCTTCTTGGGTTCCTTCTTCTCTTCACTTCCCCCAAGTGAGGTCACTGACTTCCTGACCCAGCTCCCCATTCCGCTCAAACTCTCGCCCACGCTGGACGCCGCTTCTCCCACATACTTCCCCGCCGACGCCGCCGTCTCACCGATCCGCTCGCCCACGCTGGGGCCCTCCGCCGGCGCCGATGTGGCGGGGATCGGCTGCGCTTCGCCGGGCGCACCCAGGCGTCCGCCCCCCAGTTCTGGTAGCCTGAGCCGACTTTTGAGGCGGAGGTTCATCTATAGAACCGTGGTCGTGTTCTTTTTTGGGGGGTTGGGGGGGCAACGATTCTGAAGGGAAAAAGGGGAACGCCCAGTGGAGTTTTCCACCTTTTTTCATGATTTCTGTCCCATTTCCCTCAGATCCTTCCCTTCCTCTCATTTCCGCTTAGCCACCCGTGGGCCGCGTCGCCGCCGCCTCCTTGCAGGCCTCACACACCTGGCTGCTGCTGGAGTCCACCGCGTCGCAAATGCCTTCGCTGGCCGCAGCCCCGGCACGAGAGCCCGCGATGGCACCGCCAATGGCGCCCGCCAGGGCGCCCACAGGACCTGGAAAAGAGGTGGGCTCAAAAGAAGACAACCGAAAATATCCGAAACATGGCTCACATAAAAAGTATATCTACTATATACAGTATCATATGATGTCATATGTCTGTTTATATGATGGGACATGATGGAACTTATGATGGTGCGTGCAAATCCTTAGCGCGGCCGCGCGCCTAACACTGCACCGGCCAACATCGAGCCGCCCATGGAGCCGCCCAGGGACCCGGCGATACTGCCCCCCGTTTGGTACGCAGCTCGGTTCTGCACTCCGTCCATGGGACGACGGCAGCGTTCGCACACCAAGATCTTCCGCTGTCTCACATACTGCTCATCGACTGTGTCGAACGGCATTGGCACAACACTGGGCCGGGCCCTGAAAGCGGCACAGGACGAGCCAATGGATCAACACAGCTGGGTGCTTGGAGTTTGGTGCTCAATGCGGCGAGGTGCGCAGTCACGCAACGTCTGGTGGCATGGAACAAACAGCACCAACTTCCAAACAGCCAGAAGTAATCAGACTGACCGGTCTGCCACGTGTGTTCCGACTTCCCTAGCTCTTCCACTAGCTCTTCCGGATCATAAGTCAACTTTGCTGCTGAGCGCCCAGCTGTGACAATGTTTGGGGTGGCGAGTGCTGGAAGACTTGTGGTGAGGAGACCTGTGGTGATGCTATCAGTGGTGGTGGTGGAAAGGCCAAGTGAGGCCTCGTTCCATCCGTCTCCAGGATAGGCTCCTCTGGCAACAAATGTTGCAGCAGGAGTGGTTGCCCTAGAGGCCCAAAGGCATCGAAGGAATCAAATGCCTCCGGTGTCTCCGGAATCTCCACCGGTGGCACATGCGCCACCGGTGAGCTGGAGACCTCTCGCTGTGCTCCCTTGGGGGAGTCGGGCGGGGTGCATGAGAGCGGCGTCGGCCTCGGTCGATGCAGCCAGCCGTGTGAGTATCTCATGACAGGAGCCTCTAGTAGCTTCTTTGCTCTGGAAATGCCCTTTGTTCCTAGTAGCTTCTTTGCTCCTAGTAGCGATCCTTTGCTACTAGTAGCGTTCTTGTTGCTAGTAGTAAGGCCAGGAGCGTCCTTGCTCCCGGAAGAAGTCTCCGTTTGGAACATTTTGAGAATCAACCATTGAGAGGATGTCATATCACATCCATCCAAGACGTCTCCTTGGCAGCTCCTGGGCTCTATCAGCCTTTGTGAAAACGAGGCCCCCTCCCTCTGTGGGATCCATAGCGGGCCGGTCGGACTTGGGCCTCCCCACTTCCTCCGCAGAGAGGCCGGTGACTCCGATTGCGACGCCTCCTGGCACACAAAGGCCAACAAATGGAAGTCGGTGTATCCCTGAGGTCTCCTTCATCATCCCTGACTCCGCCGGCAAGGCAAATCAAGGTATCTCACGGCCAACCTCTTTAGGTGACCGTTCCATCTGACCGTTCCATCTGCATCTTCCATGTCAGACCGTCAGACCCTCCCTTCCGATGCCGCGAAGGAAGCGGACGCTCCTTTTTGGGCCACTCGAGACCGGTCCGCGCCGGTCGGGTCGAGCGAGCCGAGCGCCGGACGCCCGGTTCCCGCGGTCTCGAAGTGGTGGTCTCGAAGGGGAGATCTGATGTCCCCAAGTCGTCTTAGTTCCCTTGATACGAAATTCTACCCAAATTGGGATGAGACCATTACAAGCCAAGTGGCAACCACAACGAATACGATTAAACATTGTGCATGTCCTGTGGCTTGAGAGGCGAGAAGCTGCTCCCTCAAAGGCATTAACCATTAATTTTCATGGAGGCGGGGCGAATGGTTCCATCCCCTTTGCTCAGGTGTTTATTGATCTAAATCAAGTGGCATTGAACGAGACCAGCAAGAAACTGTAAACTTAATGTAAATCCTTGTGACGTGGAGACTCCCCAAAGCCGCTCAATCCAAATACATCTGTCCTGGATCAAGTATACTGTATACAATCATGTGCAATGATCTCCTATGCTGCTATACTAGCTCTAACCTGTAGTTAAGGAAAACACTGGTATCAATCAACCTGACGACAGTATGCCTACAGTACATCCTCCTGCCTTCCACCAATCTACAAAAGATATCAGATCATCTCCCCACCACAGCCACACCATTGCGCTCGTCTCAGCCACCCCATTCAGCGCACAATCCGACGCTTCAGAGCGACGTTGCCCTGCGAAGCCTGGCTGAACAAAGAAGCGACTGACAGGTGGCTGAACTGAAGTGATCCTGTGGAATTGGATGGCTGAACTGCACTGGATTAAAACGATGAAACAAGATTTGACCCCACCACGTCCTCTCAAAGGACGGCGGACGTGATCTCTTGTAGGACGTGAGGGTGGCTATGAACAAGCAATCTTCCAAAAAACCTCGTGGCTTTGAGAGTGTCACAGCCCTTCCACTTGTGGGTAAGTGATGTTAAGTGTGAGAAGACAATAGATGTGTATAAATCTTATCACCTGGATAAGGGAACATGACTCAATGGAGCCGCCCCATTACAGAGGTTTTCCACATGTGACCAAACCGTGCCTGATTAACATCTATAAGTCTGTAAGTCTATAATTATACAACTTGTGTGAAACCTACGAATGCAACGAGAAAGCATCAAGAGGCTTGTGTGTCAGGCGCCCAGGAGCTTCTTGATCTGTCTTTCTCTGAAGGAGAAAGTCTCTGAGCAACAAAAGTATGCTCAAAAAGCGTTCACCTTGTGGCCATTTCCTTAGTAAGAAGAAGCTACTAGTAGCTCCTGGCCTTACTACTAGTGTCAAGAAGCTACTAGTAGCTCCTGGCAACTTACTACTAGTAACAAGAAGCTACTAGTAGCTCCTGGCGACTTACTACTAGTAACAAGAAGCTACTAGTAGCTCCTGGCAACTTACTACTAGTAACAAGAAGCTACTAGTAGCTCCTGGCCTTACGACTAGTAACAAGAAGCTACTAGGAACAAAGGGCCTTACTACTAGGAGCAAAAAGCTACTAGGGGCTTCTGGCCTTACTACTAGTAAGAAGAATGTAGTAGTAGCTCCTGGCCTTGCTACTAATACTAGTAACAAGAAGCTACTAGGAACAAAGGGCCTTACTACTAGGAGCAAGAAGCTACTAGTAGCTCCTGGCCTTACTACTAGTAACAAGAAGCTACTAGTAGCTCCTGGCAAATTACTACTAGTAACAAGAAGCTACTAGTAGCTCCTGGCCTTACTACTAGTAACAAGAAGCTACTAGTAGCTCCTGGCAACTTCCTACTAGCAACAAGAAGCTACTAGTAGCTCCTGACCTTACTACTAGTAACAAGAAGCTACTAGTAGCTCCCGGCAACTTCCTACTAGCAACAAGAAGCTACTAGTAGCTCCTGGCCTTACTACTAGTAACAAGAAGCTCCTAGTAGCTCCTGGCCTTACTACTAGTAACAAGAAGCTCCTAGTAGCTCCTGGCCTTACTACTAGTAACAAGAAGCTACTAGGAATAAAGGGCATTTCCAGACTCGACTCCAAATTCCGTGGCTCCTCCGGCCTTCGGTGAAGCCTTCGGAGGGGGCGCATCTGGCATCGGCGGTGCCGCGTAACGGAGGATGTGCCACGGCTGATAGGGAGATCTCCAAAGCACTGGGCTGCTGGCATTTCATGGGAAAAGCTGCTCACACACGAAAAAGCTCAAAACAAACGGCAACCAACATCTGGCAAGTGCTAAAGATAAACTTGAAGGGGGGGTAGTCCTGTTCTGAAGCAAACTGCCCTTCATTTACACAACAAGAAGGCTTTACACTTTTACACGGGAACCATCACTTCCTGTCTGGCATCTTTGATCTTATGTTTATATAAATATGTGTATATATATATATAACACATAGTTTTATGTGTAATATATAAATATATAGAATTGTGTTTTTTAAAATAAATCGTATATAATACGTATATCATGTTATATTTATAACATATATAACTATGGTTCTATGGCTCACGGTTTTTCATTGGTCTGGATCTTCCCCATTCTTCCACACCAAACGGCTTCGATCGGCTGCAGCTCCACCGCCCGGTCGTACCGCCTGGAGCGAAGCCGTCGCCGTCACCGACCTGTGATGAGGACGCCCCGGTCGTAGCTTCGGTTCGGTTGGGGGGTGGGGGCCAGGAGGGTCGCATACCGAACCTGAGGAGACCCTGAGGAGGTACGACTGGAGCCCTAGGGTTGAGGAACACTTGGAGGCTCCGTCTGCTGGCGAATCACCATCAAGAGCCAGTCCACAAGTCCAGGAGCTATGGGCTTAACAAAGGACAGAAGAGACCGTCGGAGGCAATGATGTTTGGGACGAGGCTGTCATGTTGTCCAGTCAATTCTCGATGAGTAGCTCCCCTGCGTTGAAAAAACATGAAAACTGCCCAAAATGCAGGTGATCCAAAGGGACTCTCCTGCCCTTGATTCCACCTACAAGTCTCACGTTCTCCCGCGGCAGACGGTTGAACCAGCGAAACAGTGCTTCACTGGCCTCTGACTCTTTCGGCTTGGGGCGGCCTGGCGGTTCACGTGGAATACGATGTGTTAGATTTCCGGGTGTCGAGCCACAGCGCAGCCGGCTTCAGAATCAACTAATAAGCAGTCAGTCAGCTTGAAAGTACATAAAACATCGGAAAACTGCCTACTGTAGCAGAAAACTGCGGCAGAGCAATTCAAGTCAGATCTGGTGGGCCTGGATTGCTGCCGAACATTCTCAACCAAACATGATCACGGAGAACCCCGCGGTTTTGGGTCCTCGAACACCCGCCCTGTCGGTGTGTCCGATGTCGTCGGATGTCGTCGGATGGTTCCGTGCCTCTCGGCTGACGGACCTGGGAAGGATCCAACAACGGTCTTCCCACCAGTGGATCGAGCCAGCATTGCTTAGCTATCTTGCCAGCTTGCTTAGTGGATCCCAGCTTACTATATCAAGCCAGTGGATCAAGCCATCTTTGCTAGCATCTTTTGGATGTTGCACACCTTCCACTACGTAGGCTGTTCTTCCGGGAATTTTTTTCGACTGAGTTTGGTAGAGAGCGGCCCACTCCTTGACTTTACGGTTTCCTCCAGGGCCCGAATAGATTGGGACAAATGACTGACATCTACTAGCGTGATGTTCCCTGCCCATCTGCGGCCCAGGACACTTTGCGACTTTTGGCCTTCTCAAGGGCCTTGATGAAAGAGCTCTTCTGACCTGCCCAAGGGCCAATGCGATTGTAGGATCTCACTGGGCACCAATGGCCACAGGTGGTTGGCGCTGCATGGAAGAGGTCACAATTATAACCTTCACCAAATCCACGGTAATCTATCTATGCTATCTACATCATTCTACATCTACCTTGTCTTATCTTATCTTATCTTATCT